TCTTCTTCTTCTTCTTCTTCTTCTTCTTCTTCTTCTTCTTCTTCTTCTTCTTCTTCTTCTTCTTCTTTTCTCTCTCTCTCTTTACAGATGGATAGATAGATAGATAGATGATAGATAGATAGATAGATAGATAGATAGATAGATAGATAGATAGATAGATCTGTATCAGCTCCTCTATTCCTGGGCAGTTAGATGGTGCAGTGGATAGAGAACCAGCCTTAGAATCTGGAAGATTTGCTGGCCTCAGACACTTACTAGCTGTGTGATCCTGGGGAAGTCACTCAACCCTTTTTGCTTCATTTCCTCATCTATAAAATGAGCTATAGAAGGAAATGGCAAACCACTCTAGTGTCTCTGCCAAGAAAACTTCAAATAGGGTTACAAAGAGTCAAATGAAATTGTTGAAGAACAATAACATCCCCTGTTATATGGATTTCATGATTTGCTATGACTGAAAACATTATATATACATATATATACACACATACATAACTACATACATATACACATACACACATATATAAATGTATATATATGCCTATAGATACAGTGTTAAGATATAGTATATCTTATCATGCCATGTCATGTTACATTATATTACATATTATATAATAGCAGAGTAAAGTAAAATAGGATATTGCATTATGCATACCTAGTTATTCATATCTTGTCATTCCTGTTAGAATGTAAGTTCCTTGAGAGTAGAGATTGTTTTTTGCCTTTCTTTGTGTCCCTAAGACCTATCTTAGTGCCTTGGATATAGGCGGTGACTAATAAATGCAAATTGATTAGCTAACTGATCATGAAGTCAGAAAAAACTTCAAGTACTGGCCCAGTGATAGGATGCATGCCTGTCAGCTCTGGATAGGCCTAGCTAAGAACCTCATTTTCAGATGGCAGATCAATGAGTTATGAGGTTTGGTTTTCTTTTTTGTTTCTCTGGTTTTCTTTTTTTTTTTTTTCCTGTTTTCTTTTTTTTTTTTTTCCAGCCACAGCAAATTATGAAGGCCATTTGAAAGAGAATAGAAGGACTGAGATTTTCTTTGGGAGAGGGAATGCCTGCACCAAAGAAAATGTTGATATCTAAAGTAATGTAAATAGATAAATAATGCATTGCTTTACTTAGTATTTTCCAAGATCTGGATTTTGTTTGTACTTAACCTATCTCTTTATTGGTATTGTGGGGGGAGGGGAGAGGGGAATGGTGGTAGGAAATCTGATCTGTAGTGCTTCTTTTCTCACTTCTCAACTGACTAGATTGACTGTGCGAGCTGAATGTCCAATGCACCTTGAAGACTTTCCAATGGATGCCCATGCCTGCCCATTGAAATTTGGAAGCTGTGAGTTACCTCAATTTTAATTGCCTATGCTTTTGAAAGCTTCAAGATTCAAATCAGATATGTCTGATAGTGAGTATGCTGATAAAGTACTTTCAGGAATTTTAAAATGTGGTCCCCTATCCATACCAATGACTTTTCTATGTACTTTTGAAAGAGGAAGACATCAGATAGTCAATGGAAAAGAGAACTGGATGAGTAAACTGAACTTAGAAATTTCACTTTAATGGAATATGCAAACATTAAATAGGATATGAGGATGAGATTATATTCAGATTCATCAATACATCATTTATTCCTAACTCAGATTGACATAATGATTTAGAATTTATCAACAATAAAAAAAATTACATATAAACATCAGGTTGAATTTGTAATAAGTAAAAAAAAATTGAGTAAAAAAAAAAGTAAGTAAAAAAAAGTCCCACTAAAAGGATGACCTAAACCTAATAGATGTTGCAAGGGGGAAAATATCTTATATTAGCCTTGCCCAGGAGTAAATCATAGACCCATTTGGGTATACAAAGAATGTTTTCATTATAAATGCTGTTTGATGATATCCAATATTTAACCAGAGAGCCTTATCTTTTGAAGGTCACCTAGAAATTAACAGGAACCTTATTACATCTGCCATTTCAAAATATAAAATAAACAAGCACATTCCTTGACTTCAGCGCTTTCGCAAGGGTTCACTTCCCAGAGATGTGTACTCTCTCCTCCTCCATATTTCATTCCGAGTTCAGGTTGATTCTGTTTGATAAACATATTTGTGTGTCTACGTGAAAAGTAGGTCATGAAATCCTTGTCCTTAGCTAGTGTTTTGGGGGATAAAATGGATGTAGGCATAGTCAACTCCTTAACCATCTTGCATGGTCTCCTACTTTGCAAGATGGTCTTCCTGGGTAGCTATTTGTGTTGAGATATATGATTCATGCAGGAAAAATTAGAGTAGTGTAGGAAAGTATCAAGAGAAGATATGATAAAGGCTCTCTTTTAGATTCATTGAGCTACCATGTTGGAAAAGAACCCAAAAAGGCATTATCACCATTCTCTAGACAACACTGCACTCAAATTCACTTATATCAACCTCAGCTCCTTATAGAACAGTTTAAAGTCAAGTTGTAAAATACTATAAAGTGCCATTTAATGATCCTCAGATCATAAGAAATTGTTATTACAGCTTACTCTTAAAAATGCATATTTCTTGATCCAGTCCAGAAATCTTTGTTAACAGTGAAACCTTTCAGTCATATCATATAGTACAAGCTGGAATTTTGGAGTAAAATTTCCAAGAAGCAACTACAAATCTGTTGGTTTTTTGGGGGGGGAGGGGGACTATTTGTCATTTGAAATCTTTTTCTTAAAATATTCTCATTAGCAGAAAAGTGGTGGCAGTGGTGGGGGGATTATATCCATGCCAACTTATACCTAGAATAATTAACTACCACATTGTTTTCTGATAAACACCACACAATGCAAATAACACCTTTCAGTATCATCTATAAATTAGATCACATGCATGTGGAATTTCTGAGAAAAGTAGAGTGTCTATCCCCAATCTATAGTACTCAAATTGCCATAAGTACTTTGAGGATTTTATAGAGAAAAAGCCGAAGAAGCATTAGAGATGGACCATGCTATAGCGAGTGTACATGGCAACTCTTCCTTATTTTATATAGAGGGAAACTTAAGTTCAGAGAGGTAATATAACTTTTTTCAAGGTCACAAACAAAAGAACTGGGGTTAGAAACTATCTTTTGGCTCTTAGCACAGAAGATTGTTGACTACAATGCACTGCCTAATACCAAGATGGGAAAAGTGCACACCCTCAGGAAACCAAATGCTTGAAATGACCCCTCTGAAAACAAAAACAAAAAATAGAAATAACCAAACAAGAAAATATTTAAGGAAAGGTGATAGTGACTCCTTTATCTGGATATTTCAGACATGGCAGGGCAAATGTTCACTCTAGGTCAGTGTTCATTTTATTTAGATTCCTGACTGTCCCATCTGCACTCTCAAACATGGCACATATGAGCTATAGAGCAAAGGTGGCTGTAAAAGCATTCCACAGAAATGTTCAACGTGATTGTCAGGAAAACCATGTAATAGTTAATGGTGCAATGAAATCATAGTCAAGAGCCCTGACTTTGGGCAAACAAATTCACCTTATCATCACATGTATATATTGAAAGTTTAGACTGCATGACTTCCAAGTTCTCTTCTAACTCCAATATTCTATTATTAATCTATTGGCTTTTCCGATGTCTGGGTGACTATATTTTTTCAGTAGCCTGAAAAATGTTGCCATTATTTCACATCGTAATTTACAATTGCCTGAGGGAAAGAAATTTACTCGGTTTTCTTGGTATGTTGTCAGCTGCTCAACTCTCATGGGTTATGACAGAGCAAGTCAACCACCCTTGGACTCACTCAACAGCTGCCAGACCTCAAAGAAGATACTTTTGTGGCCTGTTTGGGGGTGGACTGATCTTGTTCTACAGGAGCCTAAAATTAAAGAGGGAAAGTTTCTTATTAAGGGAGTGCCTTGGGCAGATTGTGGACTTCACTTAAGTCATCCAGGCCAAAAAATTCCTTAACCTAGTCCCATTAGGAAGCCTCTAATCAAAATATCAGATTAAGTGGGATGTAGTTACAATTTACTTGAATACCACGTAAAATATGCTTAAAAGGCTTCTGGAACAACAAATGCCACATGTTGGCATGCAAAAAAATAAGAAAGCAGATGTTTTGTTTAGCACAATCTACTAAAATACGATTGTCATTGCTAACTTATGTTTGAAGCTTGTTTGAAAAAAAAAAAGGACAGGTGCATGTGTGTATGTATCAAGCAAGGCATAGGGTGGGATGGGGATAAGCAGGTTGTGGAAGACTACATGTGGCCTTCTAGGTCTTCAAGTGTGGCCCAAACTTCACAGAACAAATCCTTTCATTAATGATTGTGAGTTTAGGTTGATACTATTTGATAAGCATATGTGTCTACATGAGAAGTAGATCATGATATCCTTATCTCTAGATTATGTATTGGGGGATAAAATGGATGTGAGCACAGCCAACTACTTAATTATCTTCCATGCTCTTCTACTCTGTAAGATCCCCTTTTATTAAGGGGATTTGTTCTCTGAAGTTTGGATTCAGTCAAAAGGCTGCACTTGAGGACTTAGAGGGCTGGCCTCAAGGCCACAGGTTCCCCACCCCTAGGTTAGGGTGTACAATTGAATAGTCCTCATAAAATAACAACTTTATTTCTTGGGTGGAAAATCATACTTGGATAGGATAAGTGATACATTTATTTTAGAAGAGAATTTTAGAATTTAGAGCTTGACATGGAAAGATCTAGTCACATAATTAGATGCTTGAAAGTTTTTCCCCCATCTTGGTTGTCTGGTTGGTTGATTTGATTGATTCTCTAGGACAGGTGTGTGTGTGTGTGTGTGTGTGTGTGTGTGTGTGTGTATGTGTGTGTGTTTTACAGTAGATCTTTGACTTGTTTTTCCTTTCCTCAAACAGTATCAGGGAAAGAGACTCTATAGCTTCTTTGTGTAACCCATACTATTATTTTATAACCCTGTCTGAAGATAAAAGGCCTAGGGTCAAATCCTATCTCTGATATTACTAGTGTGATCTTGGGCAAGTCATTTAACTTCTCTGTGACTGATTTTCCTCATATACAAAATGAAGGAATTTGACCAGATAGGATCTGATATCTCTTCCATTTTTAGAGCTTTAATCCCTGCAATTCTATGACCTTTCCTGTCTTAATTTAAGTCTTATTTCCTCTTTTCTCATACATTGATGATTTAGATATCTAGTTACTATCTTCCTCATACATATCCTTCTACTTGAAAAATAAATTCCCTCCTTAATCTTCTTTTTCCCAGGTTAAATAATACCAATTCCTTTAGCCTTTTCTCTATAGCACCAGCATTTCAAGCTCAGAAATGAGAATGTGTTGCAATGCAAAGAATACTAGACTCAGAACCAGATGACCTGGATTCATACCCTAGCTCCATTGCTTGTTAACTGTGTGATATTAACCAGTCAATGGACTTCAGATCACTCATCTATAAAATGAATTTTACACTAGATTACTTCTAAGTTCCCTTTGACCTCTGAATTTATAATCACATGATCCCTAGAAATTAATTCAAACAAAAGAACATAGCTTGCTACTTGCTGTGATTCCTCCAGGAATGTATATTAAGACATTATAGATAAGCTTTAAAACAGACTGTATATATTATTAGTCACAAAACATGTAGATTATTGCTATTCTGATCTGTATTATGGTAGCTGGGACAAAGAACAAGAATAAGAAATAACCCACTTCCAAGTAAATTGCAGAGTTTATGGTAGCTCAGGCTAACTATGGCATTAAGGACCATTATAGTTAATAAGATTACCAATAAGTTGCTGGGAAATGATACATTATAATTACAAAGTTGCTATCAAATCGTACATCATGTGTACATGTTTTTCTGATCAGCTATGCAAACAACACAGAAACCAGTGCAAGACAAGGAACCATGGTTTCCATTGGCCCTCTTCCTACTTCTGAAGATGGAAGAAATCACTCTTTTGAGCTTTTCCAATCTGAAGCACACTAAATAGTGTCTTAATGATCTGCCAGAACTACAAAAGAAATTAATTTCTGTAGGGTTTTATACTTTTTCTGCATGTGCTCCTTTAAGTAAGAGCTTAATAAATACTCATTAATTAATTGATTTAATGTGTATTTGACCTATGCAACATCTCTACATTCTAGCAGGACAAAGATTATCTATGTTTTATAAATATTTCTGAAGAGAGAGATGTTTGGATTTCATACCATACCAGGAGACTGGAGAGATATGTATATAATGCTGGCTTTCCCACAAAATAGCTGTGTAATCTTTGGGAAATAAATTCATCTCTGAAAAAATAAAGGGGAGGGAGAAAGATGGATGATCAAATGATCTATTAGATTCCAATCATAAGATTCAATATTGTCCATAATAAGTAGAAAATTATCCACATGAAGAAGAGTTTTGGATAAGAATTGTTTGTCACTGTTCAGTGAAGTCACTTTATTGAAGTGGTGACTCCAGTTTCTAGGCACTATATATGTTTTCTGCTACATTTCCATGCCCTCCCCTTTGTGTGAATCAAAAGCTACTTTGGGGCATGTTGACAGGTGCAAGTCTCCCATTTAATGCAACATGTGCTAAATCCCTCACTGATGTAAGAAATTGGTGGGGTCAAATTCCCAAATTATCACTTTGTCATTCTTACATGTCATGCGAAGTGTCACTAACCACTGTAAGGATTCATAGAAAACTCTCTTTCAAACATCTGTTGAGCATACTTCCAAAAACAAAACAAAGCAAAGCAAAAAAGTGATTGCTGACTGGTGATTCAGAAAGGAAGGGATAGAGGAGAAAAGAAAGTGCCCTTGTGATGGATAATTAAACTTTGTGGGTAACGTTCAATAGCATCACTCACTTCATTACAGTTAGGTCCCCTTAGGAAACTCTGGAAATCATTAAGGAAATGTACACCAAGTTTTCAGTATCTGCTTTTTTCATGCAATTTCATCATCATCAGGAAAAAAAGGGACTTTCAAAACTAGTTAGGAACATCTTATCAATGTGTACATACAACATTTTTGAAATCAAAATCCCAATTATATGTCAAGAATGGGAAAAAAAAGAAACATAATCTAGGTGTGAATAATGAGCATTTGGATTTCTGTATTTTAGTAGAAATAATTTATTCATCTCACTTTTGATCACATGATTTTTCAATAAGTTCTATATGTGAAATATGGGAATCATAGTATCATACATATTAAAATGTCCCAAGGAAGTGTAATCTATTTTTAATCAGGGATAGTAAAAAAATCTATTCTGATATTTTTAATAATGTAAGTGAAAGTACTTTGAGAAATATATAAAGCAACACAAATATAGTTGTATTATTATAATAATTATTATTATTCCATAAAAAGGAAAAAGTAACTGAAATTTCTTGGAAAATGAATAATCTTCAAACCTTATTTTCTATACAAACATATATATATGTATATGTATAATATGACAGAGTGAATACAGCTTCTAATTTTTCAGTCTACCTTTTTTTTTTTTAAGGCAGTTGGGGTTAAGTAACTTGCCCAGGGTCACACAGCAGTCTACCTTTCTTAATAAAAATTTCTATGAAAACGTATACACTGATAAATCATAATCTGTTAGTACATTCTTAAGAGGCAGTGGAATTTAATAGGAGAATCATTGTGAGAAGAGCCAGGGGGACTTGAGATCTTTTAGAGTGATAACTAGGATGTGGTGACTGAGGCTTTGCTCCAGGTGCTGAATTTTTAGAGTACCAATAGCACTTGTCTTTCAGAAATGCAGAAATAACATAGCTTAGTACTTAGTTAGCAAGTATAATTTAAAAAAAAAGAAAGATGTTCTCTCTCCTGCCCCATTGCTCTCCCTCTGACTTCATGCTTGTGTTCATGTATCCCCACACATTCCATTGCCATAGACTCTCCAAAATGAAGGTATTTTTTGTGCTAAATATGATTTATGGTTCTTGCCTTGTGTATAAAAAATTCCTAGATACATCTCTGAATTGTAGTTCTCCCTCAGACACATATTAGCTTTATAACCACAAGTATAAATCACAATATTTCTGGGCCCAAGTTGCTTCATCCATAAAATGAGGATAATTAAACCTCATCTTTCTGAAGAGATGGGTTTGATTAGATATTCACTGAGTCCCTTCCAATTCTAACAATTCTGTGACTTCTGTGATGTGACACATTATTCTTCTTTTCCAATTAGATGCTTACACTAGAGCAGAAGTTGTATATGAATGGACCCGAGAACCAGCACGGTCTGTGGTTGTAGCGGAAGATGGCTCTCGCCTTAATCAATATGATCTCCTTGGACAAACTGTGGACTCTGGAATTGTCCAGTCCAGTACAGGTGAGTAGTCATTCTGAATTCCAGGGTTCCTGGCTGGAGAGAGGAACATCAATGAGAAGTTTTAAAAAATTACAGATTCACACCCCTTAAACTGAAAAATCAATGTCATCTTTAAAAAGATGAAAGACAATGTGAAGCAGAGCTAAGGGCACTGTGGTTAAAGTCAAGAGATCATGTTTCTTCCCCCAGCTCTGGCACCAACTAGCTGCATGACTTTTGTCAAGTCACTTCTCTTCTCTGGGCCTCTGCTTCTTCAAATATAAAATTAGGAGGTGAAATAAGTTATTTTCGTGGTCTTTCTCTGCTCTATGTTCTAGGGAGGTTCTGGTGACTAGCTCCTTATCTGAAGCATTAAAAAGGAAGTATTTTATTGGAAGAGCTCCCTCTGTTTAAATAGGAATGGGAGAACAGATTCACTGTTCAGTCTTTGAGAAAAGATCTGCTGCTGATCTTTATGGTGATTGGGTATGTTTGGAGTAGGTGGGGTGCCAGTCTTTTGTTGCATTGTAATTGATATGCTAATGATACTGCTGAAGGTTTAAGATCTGGATCGGATGTTATTAAACAGTTGGGACCCAGTTTTCAAATTTGGGCAATCAGATTCCATTGAGGGGTAATCAGATCAGTGCTTAGTCATTTAAGCATCCATTTTCTGTGTCTAAGTGAAATAGGAACATCAGTTCAACACCCAAAAGTCACATTTAGATTCCCGCTCTTTGGCAAGTGTACCAAAAGGCTGACAGCCATGACTCTGGAATCCTACTGCATAGGAAAGTTCAATTGCTGATAACTTTAAAAGTCTTCAGCAAAATACAACCCTTTTAATGGAGTTCCTTTAAAAATCTAATGATCCATCCTCCTGTATCAAAAGACATAGGTTCCCAAATAAAAATTATTTAGCAAAAAATAATCATAAAAAAACAAACAATAAGATGTCACGTATTTTAGTTTTCTCGGTTATGACTCCATTTTTTAGAATTTAAATATTCAAAATAGGGCCCACATAATCCTCAAAAGATTAAAACACCTGAAAACTTTCCTCTAAATATCAGATAATACCAAATCTGTACAACTCTCCCTTTATAGCTTTGTATTAAGTTTTAATGACTAATACAGATTGTCATTTGTTTCTCTTTGGAGGAAAAAAAAATAGGGTTAGAAGTATATTATTTTATTTAATAAGGAGAAAATAATTTATTCATATTTGGATAGAAGTATCTAGTTCAAGTAAAGCCTATGTCTGTCATATATCTGTTTCTTTCTTTCTTTTTTTTTCTTCAGCCAAAGACAAAGTTTATTAAAGATCCATCATATTGGCCAGACTCTTAAGAAATCTGAGCACCTGTGAGCTGTTGGCTAGATTGTAAGAATCTGAGCACCTTAATGGAGACAATATGGACCTTATATACAGAAAGACTGTGGGAGGGATCTAGGAGTGGCCAAATGGTTTGGGGCAACTGGAGGAGGGGTCTAAGGAAGATCTGAATGGGAGTGGCCAGTAAACTGGGATGAACAGAACACTGGGACCTGGACCTCCTAGCCAAGGGAGAATGGAGCCTGGCTAGGATTAAGGGTGGGAAATGGCCAGGGACCATAGGGAGGTAAGACAATGGAGGGCTAGGCTAGGTTTAGGGTAACATAATTGGGAGATTGGGCCTAGCCACAATGAAAGGCCAGTTGATGGGATTATAGCCTCAGGCAAACTCCAGAGATTTGGACCTGTGGGAAAGTCCAGGGATTTTCCTTTTTGAGGTCTAGCTCCCATCCTCACCATCCCCCCCCCAAACAAATGGGACCCAAATTCTTTTGGGGTAAGGGGCAAAGGTCTTGGCTTCTAAAACTGCTTCCTGCTGACAAGGGGCGTAGAGCTGTCCCTGCCTCAAGGAAGTCCCAAAGAGGAGGTTGACTGGAACTGAGCACAGGCTGCATCCAGGGAACGATGAGATGGGTGAGAACATTGGCCGGTACCTGCTGTTTGCTACTACCTGTAGGTGAATAGCCATAGTCTGGAAGACACAAATCTGACAGAAAAAAAAAACTGCAGGGCCCAGATAGGAGAGGATAAAACATCCTTAGCTCTGTTTGGATTCAGATAATTCTGTTTTCCAACCATTCAGTATCAAATCCACTTCATAGCCAGACTCAGGAATAGCCAGGTGGGTAACATTCCTTTTCAAAGGAACACAATGGGGAAACTTGTCTTAGACTGAGACTAAAATTGTCCTCTCAGCTTTTCCCAATACAGACTTCCCACCAGTATCACATTCTCTCTGAGTAACTTGTGGCATTTCTCAGATGGTGGATTATTGATTTATCAATGGATTATTATGATCCATTAGACAACTCAAAATAAAATCATGGGCTTTTTTACCTCAAACAGAAAGTTTCACTAATCACAGCTTAGGAAAACCTTTTCCAGGATTTACATCTCAAACTTAAATTTGTCCTGGTGTAAAAAGCCCATCAGTAGAGATTTCTATAGACTTGCAAATTCTCAGCAAGTCATAACCCAAATGAACTTTTTGGCAAGTTTACACATTAAAACAATAACCAACAATAGCCCAATTATTTTAGCAGTAACCAAATTATGAAAAGTTGCTTGACCTGATACAAAACATTCACCAATTTGAAACTTGAAACAAACCCATTACCAATCAGGTGACTTCAGTTTTGTTAAATGCAGTTCCAAATTACTTTACACAGAGAATCAACATCTCATCATTAAGAGTTAAAAATACAAATTAAAAGAGTATGCTCACCCAAGTTCAGAGGTTAAGTTCATTACCTTGAGCAAGATGTGCTGAACCTGAGTGATGCTTCCAGGCAAAGGTTGCCCTAGGGCCCAAGGCCATTGCCAGTGGGGTCTATGCTGTAGCTGCTGCCCCTTCCCCCTTCTTCCTTTCCCAAGTGGGGGAGGGTAAAATCAAAGGTGAGGGGTGAAGCATGAAACTTTCTTCTCCGGTGAGAGGTATTAACAGATACCCTCTTGACTCAAGGGAAAGGAGTGGGAGAAAGGAATGAACAGGGTTGTAAGGAGGAGTTTCAAAACTCCTTAATGATCAATCACAAAATCTCTAGAATCTGCCAAGATATTTTTAGCTGTTCTAACTTTTCCCTGTAACCTCCATGAAGAAGGATTCAGGGATGTAGAGGGAAGAGAGTAAGTAAGCCTCAGGGAACCAACTGCAGTTTTCCCCAATTCCCTAGCGCCAAGAGAATTGACAGAATTGGGCATACACTTCCAGATAGGGTGTCCATCCTTGTCCTCTATGCTGCGGAAAGTGTACCCAGGTCCATGGCCTCAAACCTACCCAGTGGACCGAGAGCCTGAGGGTGTCAGGCCAAGTGTGAGACAGCCTTGAAACTGTCTGCCTGAAAAACACCTCTAAGCCTTGGTGCTTGGAGAGTGACCCCAACTACAGAGCAAGAAAGGAGGGGGAGGAGTGTTACATACCTTCCAGTCTTGGCTAAGAACTTGAGGTTAAGGGAATTTCCCCGTATGGGCCACCAAAATGTTGAGGTTTAGGGAATTGGGGGTGCTGGGACCCCAAAATCACAATACATAGGTCCTGTCCAAAAGAATTCGACCCAAGCCTTTTTTTAGCCAAAGACAAGGTTTATTAAAGATCTGCCATATTGGCCAGACTCTAAAGGAATCTGAGCACCTGTGAGCTGTTGGGTATATTGTAAAAATCTGAACCCACATATCTGTTTCTTAATAAATGCTTGTGGATGACATATGAATATATTTGGTTGCAACCACATCACATGACAGAATAGTAAAAAGAGCACTAGAATAGGAGACAGAAGAGATGTTTTTAGTCTTCATCTTGCCAATATATGACCTATGCTGTAGTATAGTAGAATAGATATGAAGACAGAGTACTTTAAGTAAAATCTTGGCTTTATTATTCTCTAACTGTGGCCTTAGTCAAGTGTCTTCCCTTTTTGGAGTCAGTTTCTTCATCTGTGAAATGAGATGGGTGGAATTTGATTATCTATAAAGTCCTCTCCAGGTCTAAATCTATGATACTGTGACTTAGCTGTAAGGTTACTTCTTTCTGCATTTCAGTGTTTATTTTTGGGGAAAAAAGCAAGAATAGAGTTGGACTGGACAGCTATGAAGTTATCTTTCTACTTCAACGTGCTATAAGTCTTTTGATTGAAATTGACTTTATTCTGGGCATTTTTAAGAAATATAAGATCATGGAGGTGGTAATGAACTGAACAAGGCCCTTTTTACTATTCGTATTATCAAGTAGTAGCTTGGACAATTCAGGATTGATTTGGGGAATAGTAGAGAAGTGGCAAAATTCAGTGAGTTACTGGGCTTGGGAAGCAAATTTGACTTATTTTGTAAATTATGTGGGGATATTCCAAAGGAAGGGAGAAGTGTGAGACAGCCTTGAAACTGTCTGCCTGAAAAACACCTCTAAGCCTTGGTTCTTGGAGAGTGACCCCAACTACAGAGCAAGAAAGGAGGGGGAGGAGTGATACATACCTTCCAGTCTTGGCTAAGAACTTGAGGTTAAGGGAGTTTCCCCATATGGGCCACCAAAATGTTGAGGTTTAGGGAATTGGGGGTGCTATAGTCACTATAGAGCTTTCCCTGGATACAAAATCAATTCAATTCCCTTGAAAGGGGAGAGTGCCTTCATTTTTCTTCAACCATTATTCATTGAAGATAGAAATTTCCTTGCTAGCTCCCTTTAGTGACAAATTAGGAGAAGGGTAGGAGGCTGACCAATGTATTATGATATGATTTTCAGATTAAGTAAATATTGATGACAGTCAGGTTATTCTTTTAGTTCAGTAGCCAACAAGACATAATAGAGTCTAAATATTGAAGAGAATTATCAGTGCACTTCTCAGTCTGGTGGAAAAATCATATATGATGAATGAATAAATGCAAGCACATAACATGAGATAAAGCCTGAGTATCCACACTCACTCTCATCTCTAAATAACCATAATATCATGATGAATTTTGCAGATAGGAT